CAGGTTTTAATGTTCAAACTTTGTCAGTGTATTCTATGGCACAAAGTAAGAAAAAAATATTATGTAAACATAGGTCATATAGAGCTTTATTAATAAGTTATAACAAAAATTCAGAATAGGAATGGTAATCAACTTGCTGTTACTGCGAGCATTAGCTTGAATATATCAGCACATGCCGTGTGTTTATGTAAGCTGTGTTTATTAATACATTTCGAAATGTCTACCGTTGTTGACAATACACGATTGACATCGATCGAAGATCGAATTTATGACCGTGCGAATTTCGTTTCTATTCTCTTTCATTTCATTGAACGCATTATTAATCCTATTCTGAATTTTTGTTATAACTTCTTAATAAAGCTCTATATGACCTATGTTTACATAATATTTTTTTCTTACTTTGTGCCATAGAATATACTGACAAAGTTTGAACATTAAAGCCTGGAACACCCTGTGTATTGACGTAAAAATGATTTCGCATATTTAGCAATTTTATGGTAAAAAGAACTAGACTAATAGAATGTCCAGTATACAACAATATCAGAAAAAAAGTAAAAATGTCCAATACCATCAAAGAATGTTTGGATAACTACGAACAAACAGCAAAAGTTATGTCATGCTTAGAAGAAGCCTAGATTAAGAAAATAGTGCAAAAGTGTAATGCAAAGCTATTGTATACATTACATTATCACAAATGTTATCCCACAAGTATTAAATAAATGAAATAAAACAAAAACTATATTAAATATGATAAAATAAAAATCAATAAAAATGAATAAAAATAAATAAAAATAAATAAAAATGAAGAAAAATAGATAAATAATAAATAATGAAAGCAAACATAAAATTGGCCGTGAAAAATTGTTTCTCAGACCGGTGTGCAACGACAGCGGTCTGCGAAACAGTCTCTCCGAGGTGAGAGAAGGCGTTCGACGAGGAACGTTTCTCCGCGAAACGCGACGTTGAAAACGGTTTCTCCGGCTGGCTCTCTAATTGTCGTCGGGACGACAGTTCCCAGCGGTCCGTGGGTCGCAGACGATCGTCCTTCCTCCTTATTACCGGACGGTCCTCATTAATTTCGTCGCATTCGGGCCGTTCCGAGCGTGAACGATCCGGTAGAGGGAGAAAAATGCGCGCGTGGGTGTCGCGGAATAGGCGTTTACGAGCCGCATCTCGTCGTACGGAGGAGTGTCCTTCGCGGTGGCAGTCATGCGTGGCGCTGGTTACGATACAACGAGCCGCTAATGATTCCTGGGCCACGTGACGGCGCCACGTATAAGAATCGCCGGTCGTAATTACCGCGATATCAGTCGAGAGCCCGACCCGCCGAGCGAGGATCGTGTGCTGTTGCCAGTCTCGTTCGAATACGCCGCGGTACACCGCTGCACCCCGTAGCACACACAACAGGTAAACTAGTTTGCGCCGATAGTTTTTGCCGATCCTGATCCTCCGTCGGATCCTCTCCGCGGCGGCGTCTCTCTATCGTCGTCCTTCTTCGAGGCGGAGATGGCCTCGTCTTTTTGCGGGCACATCGTGCTTCACACATTTAACACGTTCGCCGAGTACAACGTCTCTGCCCGGGGAAGCTTACAAAGATGCGGCGAGTTATTTACGAGCCTAAAAAACCTGGTTCCGCTCCGCGATGGCTCCCCGGTTAATTACACGCGTGCCGTTTGACGTCTCACTACGCCGGAATCACCGATTTTATGAACTTTCTTAACATCCGTCCGCCGGCGTTATTCGATTATGGGGTTTTCTTCGTCGAGACCGAGATCAATGGTTTTTCTCGTCCCTTTTTGGAGTCGATGTATTCATCGACGGACGGATCGCTTTTTAGTTCCACCGGATCGCTGATGTTTCATAAAGTTATCGCTGGACTGCGGATTTTATGCGTTCACGGCAGAAACGGGTAGCTTCGATTTAACATGTGGTGGATGGTTTTAAAGAATTTATGATATTCTGAGTTATCTGTGAAATTATCGAATTTATTTGTTTATGAAATTACTGAAATTATTTGAAGAAAGAAAAAGCTTTGACGCAGACCGTTTTTATTAGGTCTACCGGAAAGTTCTGTCCGTTTAAGAAATGAAAGGAAATAATAGATTTTTGATAAATTTAGTAATATTTATATTGTACAATATAATTTCCGTCGTTACTTATGACCTCTTGCCAGCGTGATGGCAATTTGTGAGCAACGTTTTTCAAAAATATATGTCTCAAATGAACATGGTAGACCTAATATTTTACATAACAATCCGCAATCCAGTCATCGCGAATCATTGATTGCCACTAAATATGTATTAATAATAATTAATATATTAATTAATATATTAATTAATACATTAATTATTATTAATATATATTTAGTATTTAGTATTTAAAGAATTTTATAAAGTATAAAGTATTTATATAAAGTATAAAATATAAAATATTTTCTAGGTGTTATACTAAAAAAACGCACATTTGTCCGATATGCGTCGAAAAAATAATGATCAAAAGTTGCCGCTATTTTTACAAAGAACATAACGCAACTGCTATTGTCGCCGTGGTGAAGACATTGCCGCTGTGATTCCAGAAAGACAAGATGAGGTTCCTGTTCGCCCTGACGTTGCTTCTGACGGTGCTCTGCGTGTCGATGACGCTGGCACAGAAAGACGACTACATCCATCTGCCAGGCAAGAGCTGCAGCGATGCGCCACCCTGCCCCGACGGCAGACCCTGCGTGATGGCGAAGCCGCGATGCAACTCGGGCACTTGCGGAACGGATCCTGTGCCGACTTGCGGCCCGAAATCGTGAATGTCGGAGTACCAATCGCGGTACAAATGGACGTCGCAAATCCGATCCTCATATTCATCGTCCACCGACTGACGAGAATGCTGACCGTCGACGTTTGACAATGTACCGGCTGTAATCTGGCTAAATAAACCACACTATTCTTCAGACGATGCGTCGTTGAAAAGAGATCAACCTTCTCGAGACTCGCTGTGCCGTTTGTTGTGTCGCTGGTGGTGCGTATTGATCATGGATCGCGAGTTGAGCAGTTGATCGCATTGAATAAGTACACAGTCTAAGAAGTATAATACATACATAGTACTGGTGGAGTCCGTAAATTAGGTTTTCAAAACAAAATCTTCATATTCATGGTAATACAGTGGTGTGAATAATGTGGTAGACACAAAATAAGTCTTACACTTTTGGGAGTCTTTGTATATTTCTGTATTAGAAATAATAGCAAATAGAAATATATATATATAAAGTCTATTGGTTTTCGTTTAAATATCAGTGAAAATGTAAAAGTTACTTTGAGCCTATTCACAGCACTATAGGCGGCCTGTTTTAGCTGATGCACTCTGTGTATTTAAAAAGAAACTTAACAGAATACCATATATTTATATATTTCTACATTAGAAAGAATAGAAAATAGAAATATACAAATATAGTATTTTTAGTTTTCATTTAAATATCAGTACATACAGGGTGTGCCAAAAATGTCTCGCAATCCGAAAGGTCGGAGGTTCCTCAGGTCATTTGAAGCAACTTTTTCCTTTACAAAAATTTTCTCCGAGGCACCGTTAACGAGTTATTAACGAAAAACAGTGACAGATGTGTATAAGAGACAGATATATATATATATATCTGTCTCTTATACACATCTAGATGTGTATAAGAGACAGATATATATATATATATCTGTCTCTTATACACATCTAGATGTGTATAAGAGACAGATATATATATATATATCTGTCTCTTATACACATCTAGATGTGTATAAGAGACAGATATATATATATATATCTGTCTCTTATACACATCTAGATGTGTATAAGAGACAGATATATATATATATATCTGTCTCTTATACACATCTAGATGTGTATAAGAGACAGATATATATATATATATCTGTCTCTTATACACATCTAGATGTGTATAAGAGACAGATATATATATATATATCTGTCTCTTATACACATCTAGATGTGTATAAGAGACAGATATATATATATATATCTGTCTCTTATACACATCTAGATGTGTATAAGAGACAGATATATATATATATATCTGTCTCTTATACACATCTAGATGTGTATAAGAGACAGATATATATATATATATCTGTCTCTTATACACATCTAGATGTGTATAAGAGACAGGAAAAACAGTGACCAATGAGAGGCAAGCTCAGCTGGCGCGAGGCGTTCGAGCCAACAAGCGGATCTGGGCTTCGCGCGCTGGTTGGGCTGGGCCGCCTCGCGTCAGCCGTACTCGATTCTTATTGGTCACTGTTTTTCGTTAATAACTCGTTAACGGTGCCTCGGAGACAATTTTTGTAAAGGAAGAAGTTGCTTCAAACGATCCGAGGAACCCGCCATTTCCGGATTGCGAGACATTTTTGGGACAGCTTGTATATAAAAGTTACTTTGGGCCTACAATTATTCACAGCACTGAGGGTAGCCTGTTTTAACTAATGCACGCTGTGTATTTAAAAAGAAACTTAACAGAATATCACATTTGTATATTTCTACATTAAAAATAACAAAAGATAAAAATATACAAATATAATATTTCTAGCTTTCATTTAAATATCAGTATAAATATAAAAGTTACTTTGAGCCCGTAATTATGCACACCACTGCACTTCCAAAGCATCGCAAGGATCATCGTCAAACGCAACAAGACTCTATTAGCTCCCAGTTCCTCAGCAATCCGAAGTTTCGCGACTTCAGGCAACATAGTAGGATTTTGCTGAACGTCGCCAGCGTCCGATCGAGAAGCAAAAGTGACGAGGACGTATCCTCGGGGCCTTCGATAGCCAACGGGCTGAAAATCGGAGCGAATCTGTCCTCGCGTGGTCGATGCATCGCGTCAGCCTGGAAACGTCACGTGTCCCGTCGGTTCGTTGCGCAACGCCGCTTCGCGAATTCTTCCGAGTGACTCACGTGTCACGATTATAGGGGACAGGTTGGACGGCTTCGGTTCGGTTCGGTTCGTTTCGCGTTCCGGACGGTCGCGTTCGCTCCCCGGGGCCATCGGCCGACGAATTCGACCGAGTTTCTCCTCGGACCACGGCCTCGAGACAGTGTCCGAGTGCTGCCGTAAAGCGATACCGGAAATTGCGGCAAAGTGGTGCGAAGCCGGCGACATGGGAGGGTGACTGGAAACCCGGCCATCGACTTTCTTGACAGCCTCTCGAAGATATCCCTTCTCTCGGTTAGTTTGTTCGGCGGATCGAGTCCTTGGTTCAACGAGCGATCGCTTGGACCTTGTTCAAAGTTATTTTCAACTGCAGGTTCTCCTACAGTTACAGCACACGCGAGTTTACAGAGGTAAGCGATGACGAGTATACTCGTCGAACACGGAGCAAATGTCGCTGTTAAAATATTGAATCAAAAAGACGGTTTTATTTTATAAAACTAACAATTTTATTACTGATATTTACTTATTCAATTAATATGAACATATGCTACGTACATAATAAACGAAAAACGTAGGAAACATCGAATACTTATAAAAATTAAAATAAATATAATAAACTATAATAAATAAAATTATTTATTATTTATAGTAATATTTAAAATATAGTAAATATAATAGAAAAGGTTAAATACATAATGGCACGTTGCACGTCGAACACCAATTTCGTGATTCTTTTCTAATTTTATTTTTATAATAATTTAAACACCCTCGTGTAGAATTGGCCTAAAAATATTCTATATCTTTTGTTTCCACTAAAATTACAATTTAGATAGCCAATGGTCACTGCTCTTTCTACATATTTCTACCGAAAACGGTCAAACGCAAAATAACTTTTCGGAAATAATCAGGAAACACTTATTTAAAAAAAAATTACATTTTACATCGGTCATTTCGAAACTGTTATAGTAAAAAATATAAGTAAAAATTATTACACGCTGCATTTTTCGCAGATAATGGCGAACGTTCTCTCCAGTGAACGTTTTCCATAAATATATTTTTACATGCACAACAGACGTTCCATACGTTTAACGTTAAAAAACGTAGATATTGATTAGCATCAACGTTCAAATCTGCAATCTTGATCTCCCAGTTCCCGAAGTCTGTCGCCAAAGACTCGTAAAGAGGCTGTTCTTAATTATAGCTCGAAAAATCTTCAAACCCGTTGGTTCTTCGCGACAGACGGTTCAAAATCGCGCAAAAAGAGCATCGTTTCCAAAAACGAGGGCGTTCGCGGGTCTACGAAGTTTCTTTATCCGGCTCTTTAGCCGTTCCCATGGTCCCCGCAGGCGGAGACGCGTTCTGATTGCCGTGTTTTCGGTCGAGAGTCCAAGAAGTTGTTCGCGGAACGCCGCGCGGCTGAAGAGCGTTCCCTCGAATTCCGCGGTGAAAAGCGTGAACTCGCGCGAATGCGAGCAAGGCTCGGCCGCGGATCCTTCTCTCGTCTCTCCTTTCAGGGGGACTACTCGTCGCGCTACTTCGTGGCTCGGCACGTCGCGAATTTCGTCCACGATTGCGGCGAGTCCGCTCGTGAAAAGAAAAATAACGCGGAGGAGGATCCCCCGTTGCTGGCCAACAGGTGCCCCGGGGCACTTTCCGCAGCGAGGATCGCAGTTTCGAATGCAAACAGACGCGGCGAATTCCAAGATAAACAGCCGGAGCCGGCGGAGGTTGCAAAACTTCCGACGGTCCCGGGGAAGAACGTTTGCACACCGGGAAAAGCGCGACGCGTGCTCTTGGAGGCCGATTAGGCCAGCACCTTCGACAATGGTCTTCCGAGGGCCTTTTGTTGCCAGCTCGCTTCGCTGTCGATTCGTAGAGGTTGCGGTTTCCTTGGTCTAGAAGGAAATACCGTGGTGTGCATATTTTTATATACTCAGAGTAACTTTTACAATTTCGCTGATATCTAAAGAAAAACAAAAAAAACTATATTTGTACAATTTTATTTTCTATTGTTTCTAATATAGAAATATGCAAGTATGATATTTTGCTGCATTTATGTTTCGATATCAGTAAAAATGTGAAAGTTAATTATTCACACTGCTGCAATGCTGAGGATCTTAAGGTGGTTTCCAGTTTGTCCGGAAAACTCTAGATCCGTGCAGAAATCCATCGTTGAATATTTAATTTTTCGAGACCGTTACACAATCGCCAGATAACGAGTCGGAGCTGGTCCCACGCGTTAATCTCGTATCGTCCCGTCGATTGTCCCGACTGCTAGGCGAAAGGAAGCTCTTTGTTCTCGAGAAGCGATACACGCTTCAGCGTGATTCTATCGAGACACGAAGCACAATTGTTTTGAAGTATCGTGACTTCGTCGAAAGAAGTCTTGTCTAGTGCTATCGCTGGAATCATCGCGAACGAATGACAATACCGCGATTCATCAATTTAATACACGCGACAACGTGTAACCGTCACGACGCGCGATTGCAATTACATAGACACGTTCGAAGAGGTAAGTGTAACGTGAGATTGTTTTAAAGTTACCGCTTAACCCGGTGGTACGCACACCATCTTCCGAAACAAAAGTACGGAGCTCATGGACCCCCAGTAAGATTTGACATTTATTGGTAATAATGTGCAGGATATTCCAAAATTATGGTATTCACGAGAAAATGGGGGGTTCCTGAGGTCGTTTGAAGTAACTTTCTTCTTTATAAACATTTTCTCCGAGGCATCGTTCACGAGTTATTAACGAAAAATAGTGACCAATGAGAGGCGAGCTCAGCTGACACGAAACGGTCGAGCCAATGGGCGGAACTGAGCTTCGCGCGTTCGTTGGATGGCCCGCCTCGCGCCAGTCGAACTCGTCTCTCATTGGTCACTGTTTTTCGTTAATAACTCGTGAACGGTGCCTCGGAGAAAATTTTTGTAAAGGGAAAAGTTACTTCAAATGTCCTCAGGAACACCCAATTTCCGGATTGCGAGACATTTTTGGAACATCCAGTATATTTTATACCTCTTTATTACAATTAGTATAATATAATAGTATAATTGTACGAAATAATATAATAGCATCATTGTACGTGATAATATAATAGTATAATTGTACTAGATAATATAATAGCATCATTGTACGATGTAATATAATAGCATAATTGGGGGTGCACAGGACCCCCACGTGTCTACTACAGAATTCCATCGAATGCGACAGCGTTCAAGAACTGCAGCTTCGTTCTTGAACCATTGACATTCAGCAGTGGACTGCTTAAGAGGCCACTACACTTGCTCGAACGACAAAGTTGCGAAACAACATCTGCCGCAGTGTCCGGCAGCCGGGTCCGCTCCGATCGAACAGGTCCAGCGAAAAAGTTTCATTCAGAGGTGGAGCATGAAAGTCAATCGCGGCGTATAACCGACCGGTTGCGTTTTCCGGCAAAAACCGAGTCCTTTGAATGGTAAAGAGTGCTTTGGTAGCGTGGCCGTTGAAAATTAGTAGTTAGACCGCGGCGTTGAATAATTTATGACGCGGCTGTTAGTCGTTCAAAGGGCGCTATATCCGATGGGGCGCGGAAATTCGCGAAGCAAAAGCGTCCCGAGGTGACTCGGAGCTTTCAGACAATGCCCGCGGGCACGTAATCGAATAGAAGGTAATATAAGGCGGAAGTACCCATTATGCAACGCTTTCCAGGGGGTATATAAGATTCTCATCGATTTGATTACAATTGAAAAGTGTTATCGCTGAATATTTATGCCACCGTTCGATAGATCGATGTTTCTAGATTGCGCGATGAACCTTCAAATATTTACTTCATACGAATGAAAAAAATAACACGAGAATGTTCCAAAATATCGGTAAAATTTCTACATCCGCATCCATACGCTCTATCCTAATTTTTTATTGTATTATTTGTGCTACCGTTTCAAAGACGGGGTCACAATTCAGCGACGTTTCATAACAGGTACATTTACCTTAATTGGAAGTCGGCTGCACCTGCCCACGGTCGACCGAGCCGCCATCTAATGACTTAACGACTTCATCCCGAACGTGTCCAGAACCTCCCATAAAACTTCTACAACTAGTTCCCGACGTTACATCGCGGCGGAGGAAAATGAAACAAAATTGCTAATCCTGCCACCGGACAGTTTCTTTGAAGTAGCTGCACGAGGTAGAAAGGGTTCCCGCGGACCCACCGCAGGGCCTCCGGTGTCCCGTCGTTGCGAGGAGGTTAATAAGATCACCGATAACCCACAGTCTCGAAGGAGATCGCCTCTCGATGAGGATGGAGTCGGCTCCGGTAATCCGTTAAAGGGGTCAAGTGGTTATCCCTTTCAAGAACGCAAATTCCTTGACCAGTCTGCCGTGACCCTTTTTTCTTCCCTTTGTCCCGGCGACGTCGCCATCGGGATGAGCAGCAGCCCGGCCCCGGTTTGATCCGAGGGACCGCGCTCGGCGAAGACGAACCGGGCCAAGGGGTGAGCACACCGTTTCAAACGGTCCTTTTGTGAGCCCCCGGGACAAAAGAGTAACCCACGGACACGTTCAGCCAGCTCCGAGCAAGACTCCGGCCCGTGAAATGCCCTGCCTCCGGACCGCTTCTTCTCGAGGATCTCGAGCGACGCACACGACTCGCATAATTAATGCCGAGGCAGGATCGAATTTTCGTATCGACGGCTGCCTGCGAAGCTCTCCGCCGAAGCTCGAGGCGGTCGGGCTCTGACGTGAACGAAGATTAGCGGCATTCGAGCGACGTCGCGCAATTTTCTTCGGCAGGTAAATTAGTTAGAGGACTGACTTAGAGGATCGTTGAGAATCCTCGGGATTTTTAGGATTTTGTTGGATAGGTTCGAGACTCCTGAAGGGTTCTGTAAATTTTATAGAGATCTCAGAATCTTCAGGATACAATTTCATTTATTTAATAAATGGGAACACCCCCTCCGGAGGAAGCGTTACAGAGTCATTCGCAGGTAGCAATTGCCGTTTATGGGATTAGGTTGAAGACTCCTGAGGGTTCTGTTAATTTTATAAGGATCTCCGAATCTTCGGGATTTAAGTTCATTTATTTAATAAATGAGAACACCCACCGGAGGAAACGTTACGGAGTCATTCGCAGGTCGCTGTGGGATTAGGTTAAAAACCGTCCCACCTTTTACTTAGGTTCTTTTTATGCATGCTAGAACATGCGTGTATAGTTCGAATGATGATTCGAACTCGATGGAGAACCCTTTGGGTTCTTTGGGACCTTCCAGCGGGTCTTTTCAAAATCGAACGAATTCTTTGCAGCTTCCGGATGATCTCTTGGCGACCGGAGAGCATCATCTAGATTCAGCCCAGGCTCCGAAGTTTAAGGTCGATTTCCTGGATCCCGGAGGGCCGTTAAAAGAGCATGGATCTGTCGGCTTCCAGACAGAC